GAAATTTTACTCACAAGCCAGTCTAATTGGGGGCTTTATGTGGGCAAAGTTTCAGGTCAAAATTCAAAAATACGATTTTGCTGGAAAACTTGGGTCCTCTAGGAGAAGTTGAGTAAAACTTGAATATCTCAGGCATATCGCATCATGGGCCAATATCCTCTTAGACTTTTCTGGTCTACAGGTCCCCTACTTATGGACAAAATATGAGATCAAAAGCGATGGATCACTTCGAACGGTTCCCTGGTCAGTAGTTTTAAGAATTTAAATTCTGATAAGGACTGTAAAAATATTTAATGCTGACGAAATACTTCGCATAGTAAAAAAATGATTGTTCTCAACAGAAAAAAACTTATTCAATTTTCTTTTCCCTATGGAAAATACAAATTTTACAATTTTTTAGAAAACAAAACAGATGTTAATACAGAGAGAAAAAAACTGTTGTGACTGAATTTTTTATTTAGGTGCTTTAATATTAATCACGTATCAACTATTTCAGAAAGTAATAACTTTTATTATTATCCATATTTCATGAGATTGTACAATCACTCAATCATACGACTAAAACATCTAATGTAAGTTAGTTTTAATGAATTCTATTAATTGGTTGAACAATTGATTAGTAGCAATAGGAATATCATAACAAGGAAGACTGAGTTATACCAGCTAAGGTTTGCAACAAGTGCCTCGGCGTGACAGCGCCCGAACACCTTAGCCTACTGTCAAAATTCTGGTCATTCTACTAAGCAATAGAGAATGCGGTCAAATAAATTTGTTTTTCATCAGTAGCATAACTTTTCTTATCTTTCTGTATAAATTTTGATATTGAATCAATATTTTTCTAGATTTTGAGACTTAACAGAGAGAAAATATTTCTCAAAATGTTCAAATAATTAAACAAATAAAATTCTAATTCAAATATCAAAATCTTCATTTAGATTTTCTTGTATAGAAAATTAGATTTTAATTTATAAAAAGAAAAACTTTATTAAATATTTTCTTCAAAATATCTATTTTGAACAATAAAATGAGTTCATGAAATGTATTCTATTCTCATTTTTATTGTAATCATCAAAACGAACATTATGTCTTTGGATAATTTTTCTGTATTTTCATCAAATTTATGTTAATTTGGTTTGTCTCGTCTTTTATCACAAAATAACACATAATGATGCGTGCATATTGTTTTGCGGCTTGTAGATTCAATCAAGTGAATCGATCTAATCAAGCAATCTTATCACATCATCAGCATCAATAATAGTTTCACCAATACAACAAGATTCAGCAGCATCTTTACAGATAATATATAATTTAACGAGCAGTCATACCACGTAGCGAAACGACCAATAATATCTGATTTGAATCAGTTTTTTTCTCACATAGAGTGCATAACATCATAATATGCTAATTATATTCTATTACTTACATTTTTTCTTGCTTTTTCCTATACGTCTGTTACACAGTTGCTTCTATCATTGGCTTTATATTTAGTGCTCTAACGGTAAATACCATACTTCTAAAAGTAAAAAAGTTGAACATTGATTTAGTATATTATTTGCTTTGTTTTTCAATGCCAATGTAATTGAGTAAACTCACAAAAACTATTTTGATAACAATATACAAAGATATATCATATCGCACATTAGTCGCTGAAATTCACAATTTGGAATTCATCAAACATTTTCAATGATATGATAAAGCCTGTATAGTAATTATATAATAGTATAAAATTATGTACAAGACATTTCGTTCATAATTGAATCCTTACGAATGCAACGAGTTTTTATGAAGAAATGACAACATATAGACAAGAGTGAAACATGGATAAAATAACCGGTAGGCAGTTATAAGTTAGAAAATAATTCAAATTTTTTGTTTCAACTTGACCTAGATATTGTTCGATTTGAAAGTGAAATAGACTCTTATAAACATGAGCATATAGAACTCTTGCATGTCTGGCCATTTTCTGAGCATCTGTTTTTTAAAGATTCATATTTAAATTAATGTAGTGAATTCTTTTTGAATTAATGAAATGTTTTAATAGTGAATTTCTACTCTAAAAAAATTGAACTTTCAAAAATTGATCGGAACAAAATAAAACTTATTACTGAAAATATTACTTCAGCTATAAGGACTGAAGTTTATAAAATTATACAAAACTATAAAAATGCTTTTGGTAATTTAATTTCATTATTCTTCAGGTTTTCTAAATCAATATCAACAACAATATGGCAAAAGGTAAATAATCGGAAAATTCATTTCAATTTTATATAAATCTCGACAAATCTACATTCTTTTAGTTTTAATTATTTTTTTAATCAACATTTCACATGATTTGATAGGTTTGACGCTAATGATTTATTTTTCGGTTTCAGAAAAAATATGACTCAGTATTAAATATACTTTTCACAGAACTGTCTATTCTTCTTAGTTCATATTTAATGCAATAAACAACAATAGAGTACACGATATGAAACGAAAATAAGAATTGATTTTTTCTAATATATGTGAAGATAAAATTGTTTTCGTTTTATTTCAAAGGATATCCAATGTTTTTGAAACAGTGAAGAAAAAATTTTATGTTTGCTCACTTTAATTAGATTTAGTAGCCGTCAAAACTATCCAACCAGATATATATTCAATGTTTTACTCTACTATTACCATTTTATAAAAAATTCAATCAGTCACTTCAATAGAGAAAATTGTTTCACAAAGAACTTGTCAAGAAATTATATTCCTCGTTATATTTCACAAATGCAAGCTTTCTAGAAAACTAAAACTCCAATGTTTCATCACCTAATGAGACGTTTCTAACTTCTCCACGATTTTGTTTTTTCTATGCTACGACAAACTTACGGAAGACACAATATTAAAATCACAATTTTGAATTTTTTATAGAAAGTATTGCGAGAGCAAAAAATTGAATATACAACTGATTGAATCGTTTTCATGATATGTTATGTGATGATCTTGAGAGAAAATAATTATTCATCAGTCTCCATATATTTGAATATGAATTTTCATGAACATATTTAACAAACAAATAATATGGAAACTGATGAATAATTATTAATAATTTAGCTCTTGATGTTTTACTATAGTTTATCTATTATATATATTCATTATTTTAGTATTAACTTGTTTTTTTTAATATTTTTATCAAATTATTAAAAATAAAAAAAAAACGAAAAATCATATAGATGCTTTACAACTGAAGCATAAAAGAACTATATTTCTGCACATTATACTCTTCTCATGAAAATAATGTCTAATTGATGATCATTAAAACTTCATTGTTTCTCCATTTCAGCTAAATAAAAAGAAAAAATGAAACGATAGTAAAACAACTTGTTTAGATTTTAAAAAATGACTATTCACATTTTTGTAAGCATTCTATTCTTAACAACATCATGTTTGTCGAAAGATAATATTCAATGAGTTAATGTAATTAGATAACAGTGATTTTTCTTGTTTTATCTCATTAAATGAATTCAACAAATTTAAATTTGTAATATCCAAGACATTACCCAAGCAGACAAATATTTTCAAAAACACGTTTAAACGCATGAAAAAGTGTCAAAAAAAATAGAAAAAGTGGACGTTTTTTGCTCACGATCGCGGTTCCAGACTGGGAGCGAAAAAAACGTATTTTTTGCCCTTTTTGTGCGTTTACACGCGTTTTCAGCCAAAAAACGATTGTAAAATTGTATAAACGCATAAAAAGAAACATGAAAAGTAGTCGTCTTTTTATTTTTTGCGAACTGTTATTATAATTATAATTGCAGTTTTACGAGTATGAAAAAGACGACTATTTTTCATGTTTCTTTTTATGCGTGTATACAATTTTACAATCGTTTTTTGGCTGAAAACGCGTGTAAACGCACAAAAAGGGCAAAAAATACGTGTTTTTCGCTCACAATCTGGAACCGCGATTGTGAGCAAAAAAAGTCCACTTTTTTGTATTTTTTTGACACTTTTTCATGCGTTTAAACGCGTTTTTGAAAATGTTTGTCAGCTTGGGTATTGTTCTATGAAATTGTCTATTCTATTCTTTATAATTTTTTCTTTGTTTCTTTAGCAATATTGAAACAAATCGAACACTTCTAAGTTATGTGTATAGTTATCGCTGGAGCATTAAGTCAGAATAGAAAAAAAAAAGAAGAAAAAAAGAAAAAACAAGCACTAAAGGTAGAAATACCTTAAGGAGGAACAGTAATGCAAGAACGCACAAAAAATAGGACACAACTAGTATGCATTTATTATGATTAAGACTATTTCAAAACAAGAAAAAAACATCCTAAGATAGAGTAATAACTAGATTTGATCACTGCGCATGCATGATCTTTTTAATAGTGTAGGGATCGAAAATTTTAACCATTAACATATACCAAAATTTCAGATATAAAAGAACAACCAAAGTTTAAAATCTTGTAAGTAAAATAGTATAGGAAAATTATGTTTTTTTTTTCATTTTATTAGTGACGCTTATCATCTCTAAATAATATTTAGAATTAGTTGTTTTTTTTTTTTTTCAGCACGTATCATGCTTGATGTATTGCAGTATCGTTATTCAACGTATGATTCGAGTAAACCAGCTGCTGGTATTCTTGCTGCTATCATGGGTATTTCATTAATTGGATGGATTGTTCAATCGGTTCAAATACATTTTAGACCACGTCGACCTTTGATTCTTATTCTCATTGCTAATATAACTCTTTTTATCGAACTCATACTACGTGCAGCTTTTTCTACCAAAACGAATAATTCGAAAGCTGCTTATACAGCTCTAACAGTTCTGCTGGCCGTTAGTATACGTATGGTTATGTTATCGAATTTTGATTTTCTCACACAAGTAGACAAACTCAAACCGTGGATCACTCGAGCTATTATTCTGGGATCGATTTTCCTCGGTATCACATCGACAGTTCTCATGATTCCAGCCGGTGTGTTGGCAGGTGACCCTGATACACTCAATACAGCCCTTCAACTAAAACAAGCATCATCGGGCATCGTTCTCGGTATGACCGTTCTTTTTTATCCAATCTGGTTTGCAACAAAAACGATAAAAAAGATGACAAAACAAGCCATTATTCTCTTAATTATCTCCAGTTTATCTTCTTTGATAGTTAGTGTCTATCTTATGATTACATCGGTTCCAAAGCCTTATGCGGAGTCAAATAAAAAAGAATTTTGGGTATATATTTTTCAAATTACACCCACCATTATCGCACTACTCACATGGACAATCTTGCATCCGAAACGAACTTTAAAGCAAGCAGAACCGCTAACAGAATCACCAACAGAACTGAAAAAAGGGTCGTCAAAAGAAGAAGTCAAAACTGACATTGACGATGATGTGCAAATTCTGCGATTCTAAAAGACTAAATTTAAGTTAATGAAATCACTGGATAAATCTAAACATAATTGTAACTTGTTATAAATTGTTCTAATCCATTTTTGTAGATATATTTCAACTAACATTAAAGTTCTACACAATATATATATATATCTATTGTAGTTCAACGTTTTTGTTACTGACAGGAAAGAAAGCTACTAGTCACTAATTTTACATTAATCTAAAAAAAACATGTTTTATCACAAAACACCATTTGAAAAATTCAAAATTCTTGTTATTCAAAAATGGAACTAATCCTTACGACATTTATCATAGTGTTTGATAGTTCATCATGCACATACGATACTTCCCAGTCAGACACAACTCTCAAAAAAAAACATGTGTTATCTATTCTAGAAAACGTTAAAATGCATAAAATTTGTCTAGATTTACATGTTTTCACCCATTTACTGCACAAACTTCACGAGACGTATTGCATTCAAGGATAGAACGCCCACAGACTACTTAAAACAACATAATTGTACGTGTATTTTTCTGAATGAGTATAATTGTATTCAACAAACATTCTTTATTTCTCGTTTTTTTTAAAACAAATTCAATGCGTTTAGCTGAATTCGTCTCTTGAGATTATTTTAACTCAAGAATTTTTAGTTGATGTATTTGATGATCAAGTTTTCTAAAACAATTAAAGTTCTTTATTTTCCATTCTGGCATGAATAAGTAACGAAAATTATGTAAGGTTTTATTATCAAAAAGTAATAAAGAATAAATCTACAGTATTACGTATTAGCATTTCGTATTGGTGACAAAGAAAAACTAGATTAACAATAATACAACGAAAAAGTAAATACACGCATGAAATACTTCGTAAATAAAATAATCGTATTGACTGAATAGAAATCACTGAAGTGTAACTACTTTAGTGAAGAACACAGCTATTATACCATTATATTTCGAAGATAAAAGTGTTTATAAATCTAGTTCTACTCAGCTGAATTTAATAAGACTTTCTTCTTTTTTACTAGATTGAAGATAGTTATTCACTTCCGAAAAAATTAAGTTTTCATCTGCTTCAGTTTCTGAAAAATAAAAATTTTTTTTTTCAGCTAAAGTTGTAAAACTTGTCAAGAGTTTTCAGAATTTGTCTTTAATTTAAGTTTGAGACAAAGTTTTATGAATGAAAAACTACAGATAATAGACGTTAAAACATTTGTCATTTTTGTGTAGAGCAACATTAAAATCGATGGCATTCCAATGGAAAAAACATCATTTCAATTATCTTTATTGAATATCAAAGAGAACTAAAAAGAAAATAATTTGTGTAGTCAAAAAAGTCTGTTTCATAAACTTTGTCAGTAGAAAGATTTTACACAAAATTTTAAAAAAATGATTTTCATGTTGGATGTAGAGCAACTTTTTAAATTTTGCCACTATCATAACTCAATGAAAACTGAATCATTCACCAAAAAATGTTATCATTTTTTCAATTCGTATGCTAGAGGAATATTTCAAAAACCTGAAACAAAAATCTTTTTTCATTCAAAAGAAAATTTAGTTTTACTAGCAAAGTCAAGGATTTCACACAGTACGGCTGATTGATATATGAGAAGAACACATACAGAAATAGGTTTCGACACAGAAAAGTGTTGAGAAAAATATTATTTTCATACACAATCGACATTGCTCTATTAAATGCAACACTTCATTGTTTATTAATTTTTTGCTCGAACAATACAATAGCTATGCTCTTCATTCACCTGTTTTTTTTCTCTCCTACATCGATTTTCTATTTATCAAGAAATAAATTTACATATACTACATTCTCATAAAGGAAAAGTTTATATGAACCAGCGTTGAAATGCATTCGTTTTTATCTTTTTCATTTTAAAACGTCAATTAATAATACTGTCTAAGCATGTTTATGAGAGACACGTCTTTTATTTATAATAAACATCATTTGAATTACTACTCAAACACGTTTTCTTTTATGTGTTTAGACGTATTTATTTTTCATGCATTGAAGTTCGACTTTTTAGCGTTCTTTTACTGAAAATAAAAACGTATTTATTACAAACGTGCAAGAATTCCTTTTTTTAAATATGTTTTCTGATTGAAAAACGAGTTCTTCTTACAAGCAAATTGAAATATTCATATTCTTATTAAAAGCAAAAATACCGTTTTATGAGGTGAAGTCTCCTACCGTTTAAGCAAACATTTTGAAGTATCAGACTGAAAAATATGCCGTTCAAATAGACCCATTATAGAGATAAATTTTATGAGTATTGTGTATTAGAATTTATATTAATATCACGAAAGGAAGAAATAATTGCGTAAGAAAGATTAGCAGTGGATTCGAGTATCTCCATCTGACATGCGCTTCTACATCTGTGCTGGCATCCTAGTTGTTTGTGTTGGGAGAAAAATTGAATTTTCTATCGAATGGTGATATTTTCAAAAAGGGTCATCGAGTAAAAATTGGGAGATTAGGTCCAAAAATCGAGATTTTCAGGTCATTGGGGGAGTAAACGATGTTACTATGTGTCACTTTCGTAGTTCTTTTCTTGTTGTACAATGTTCAAGTAAGACAATTTTATGTTCGCATGCATATAGAAGACAACCGCATCATAATGTCGTGGCCAAAATAGAGAGACAGAAGTTTAATGCCGAAACTATGCTATCTTACATCATGCCTGAATATTAAGCTTCAAAACGAGATGATCTTGGATCTATTGAAAATGTGTCGGTTCATTATTGAAATGAAATTAATCAAGAAGTATTATCAAGATTTAAATCACATCAAAAATGAAATCAAGGTAGCAGTAGAGTACTGCAACCCGCGGGTCGGGTACCAGAACCCGACGCGGGTATCGGGTACAGTTGGTTACGGGTAGGGTAGAGTACGGGTAGAGTTGAATACGGGTAGGGTAGGGTACGGGTACGAAAAGTTGTACCCGTGCAGTACTCTAGGTAGCAGACTCTTAAAATTGATTATTGTTTTATTTTTTATCCTCTGTGTGTTTTCGTTGTTGCTATTATTAATGTTAATGCTAAACTATATAAAACTGTCGTTTTTTATGTTTAAAATAAAAATGTAATACATAATATTATAAAAAGAAATTGATAAAAGTTTTCAATATTTTCATCGATGCAGCACCTTCTTAAGATTCATCGAAACTGATTGTAATCCCTTATGGATGATAGCTTAGATGCTACTCTTCAAAAATATATATCGTCAATTTCTGCTTACCTATAAATATAGCAAAAAAAAACATAAAAATGGTGCCGCAACTTATGGAACACCCTGCGTTTCACAAATGCAAGCTTTCTAGAAAACTAAAACTCCAAGGTTTCATCACCTAATGAGACGTTTCTAACTTCTCCACGATTTTGGTTTTTCTACGCTACGACAAACTTACGGAAGAAACAATATTAAAATCACTATTTTGAATTTTTTATAGAAAGTATTGCGATAGCAAAAAATTGAATATACAACTGATTGAATCATTTTTACGATATGTTATGTGATGATCTTGAGAGAAAATAATTATTCATCAGTCTCCATATATTTGAATATGAATTTTCATGAACATATTTAACAAACAAATAATATGGAGACTGATGAATAATTATTAACAATTTAGCTCTTGATGTTTTACTATAGTTTATCTCTTATGTATATTCATTATTTTAGTATTAACTTGTTTTTTTTTAATATTTTTATCAAATTATTAAAAATAAAAAAAAAACCAAAAACTATGTAGATGCTTTACAACTGAAGCATAAAAGAACTATATTTCTGCACATTACACTCTTCTTATGAAAATAATGTTTAATTGATAATTATCAAAACTTCATTGTTTCTCCATTTCAGCTAAATAAAAAACAAATGAACCGATAGTAATACAGTTTAATAGTTAAACTAAACCAAATCAAAAGACTTCGTCAGGTGAAATGATTCATAAAAACAATTCGCTTAGGTTTTAAGAATAAGTATACATGTTTTTGTAAACGTTCTGTTCTTCACAAAATTACGTTTGTCGCGAAATATGATATTCGATGAGTCAATATAATTAAATTACAGTGTTTTTCTTCTTCTATCTTATTAAATGGCCTCCAAAAAAAATTTGAGTTTTTAATATCCAAGACATTGATATTCTATGTCAGTGAGTATTCGATTTTCTTTAATTTTTTTTGTTTGTTATTTTAACACTAAGAAAAATAATTAAGCACTTGTAAATTATACTTATATATATCGATAGAACATTAGATGTCTATTGAAAAAGAAAAGAAAAAGAAAAAACAAGCATTAAAGGTAGAAAAATCTTAATGAAACGAGTGGTACAAAAAAAGCACCAAAGTAGAATATATATCTAGTGTGTATTTATTATGATTGACATTATTTGACAGCAGGAAAAAAAACCTCCTAGATGAGAGCAATAACTAGATTTGATCAGTATACACATGTGCTTTATTTAATAGTGTAGTGATCGAAAATTTTAACCATCAAAACAGATCAAAGTTTCAGAAATAAAAAGAAACAACCAAAAATAAAAATCTTGTAAGTAAAATAATATAGGAAAGTTATGTTTTTTTTTTTCATTTCATTAGTGATGTTTATGACCTCTAAATAATATTCAGAATTGGTTGTTTTTTTTCAGCAAGCATTATGGTTGATTTCTCGCACTATCCTTATCCAGAATACGAGGTGAGTAAAGCAGCTGCTGGTACTCTTGCTGCTGTCATCGGTATTTCATTAATTGGGTGGATTGTTCAATCGGTTCAAATACATTTCAGACCACGTCGACCTTTGATTCTTATTCTTATTTCTCATATAACTATTCTCATCGAGCACATATTACATGCAGCTTTTTCTAAAGGCACGAATAATTCGAGAGGGGGTTTTACAGCCTTATCAGTTCTGCTGGCCGTTAGTCTACGTACGATTATTTTAGCTAATTACGATTTGCTCACACAAGTAGATAAACTCAAACCGTGGATTTCTCGAACTATTCTTCTGGGATCGGTTCTTCTCGGTATCACATCGGCAGTTCTCATGGCTCCAGCCGGTGCATTATCAGATAACCCTAATACACGCGATACGAGCATCCAGCTACGACAAGCATCATCTGGAATTGTTCTCGGTTTGACTGTTCTTTTCTATCCAGTCTGGTTTGCAACAAAAACAGTAAAAAAGATGACAAAACAAGCCATTATTCTCTTGATTATCTCAAGTATTGCTTGTTTGATTGTTGCTGTCTATCTTGTGATTATATCGGTTCCAGAGTATTATGTTAAGTCAAATGAAAGAGAACTGTGGCTGTATATTTTTCAAATCACACCCACCATTATCGCACTACTCACATGGACAATCTTGCATCCGAAACGAACTTTAAAGCCAGTAGAATCACCAACAGAACTGAAAAAAGAGTCGCCAGAAGACGAAAAAGTCAAAACTGATATTGACGATGACTTGCAAATGGTGCGACTCTAAAAGACTAAATTCAAGTTGATAGAATCATTGGATAAAATTAAACATAATCGCAGCTTGTTATAAATTGTTCAAATGCATTTTTTGTAGAGATATTGTGAGTAAAATTAAAGTTCTACATAATATGAATATTGTAGTTCAATGTATAATTATTGACAAGAAAAAAAGCTTCCAGTCACTTCAGTCTCTAAAATAAATCAAAGACATATGAAAAAAAAAACATGTTTTATCACAAAACAGTATGTAAGAAATAAAAATTCTTGTTATTCAAAGATGGAACCAATCCCTATGGCATTAATCATAGTTTTTTTATAGTTCATCATGCACATACGATACTCTCCAGATAGACAAGGTTCTTTAAACAACTCGTTAAAACGTGTTACATATTTTATTTTAGAACACGTTAATACAAGTAAATTTTTTCTAGATTTACGCTTTTTTTATCCGTTTGTAGCACAAACTTCACAAAACTTAACTTTACAAATATTTTTCTAATTGAGTTTTATTGTGTTCAACAAACATTGGTTATTTCTCGTATTTTTTAAGTAATTCAACGCGTTCAACGGAATTTATCTCTTGAGATTATTTTAACTCAAGAATTTTTAGTTAATGTATTTGACGATCAAGTTTTCTTAAAACAATTAAAATTCTTGGTTTTCTGTTCTAGCATGAATAAGTAACAAGAATTGTGTAAGATTATATTATTAAAAAGTAATAATGAATAAGTCTAGAGTATCCTATATTACCGTTTAGTACTGATGAAGAAGAAAGACTATCTTAACAATGATACAACGGAAAAGTAAGTACATATATGAAACACTTCGTAAGTTAAAAAAAAAAGTCGTATTAATTGAATAGGAACGACTGAAGCGTAACTACCTATTTTTTTCTCTCTCTTATATCGATTTTCTATTTATCAAGAAATAAATCGTAAAATCCGCATTCGAATAAAATCATTTGTATCAACCAGCGTTCTAATAGCAACTGTCAGTAAAAACAACGCTGGTTTTGTGTTTACACGCTCTACTTTGTTTGATAGCAGCGCGTTTAAATGCATTGCTTTTTATTTGCAACGTGTTTTTCAATATAAAATGTTATCTAAAAGTACTGTCTAAGCGCGTTTATGAGAAACACGCCTTTTATTCCTAATAAACGTCGTTTAAATTACTGTTCGAACGTGTTTTCTTTTATGTGTTTGGGCGTATTTATTTTTCATGCATTGAAGTTCGACTCTTTAGCGTTCGTTTACTAAAGAAAAAAATCGTGTTTTTTTCACAAACATGCCAGAATGCATTTTTAAAATACGTTTTCTTATTAAAAAACGAGTTTTTGTTTTTTTACAGGCAAATAGTTACGTCACAAAAAGAACACATGCAGATGAATTATAACGAGTTTCACCTAATTGAAAAAATTCTTTGACTAAATTTGAACAGTTATCGTTGAAATAATAACTTAGTTAAACTTTTTCCCTGCAAAAATTGAGAGAAGAGTGGCTTTGTCTATTTTTAATGATCCATAGTTAGAGTATTATTTTTATAGTATATCCAATCCATTCCAAGACTAAAAATCTGTATTGCATACTCCATTCCATTTCTATATTTTGCTAATTTCTCAATTCCAAATTGTATTCTCAATTGTTTGACACAAATTACTCTTCTCATTTTATTACTATCAGTTGATCTTTGAGATTTTTTGTTTTGTTTTAAATCATTTTAATTTTAATCTTGACATTCCTTTCTTTAATCTTGTCAAAGATTTGACTTGTTGTTGAAACATTGATGTTGTTACTGTAATAGTACGATCGTACCAGTGCTTATCATTAATTGTATTCTTTTTTTCAATACTCTTCTAACTTGTGTTAAAAGTTGATGTCTTTACAATTACGGAAGGTTTTCGGATTCTTTGAAAAAAAAAAAAAACTTCAAATTTCAGGTAATTGCTATGATGGATTTAGGTTTTTCAAATCTAATACAATTGATCTAAATTGTTTATTATTTTTGGAAATATTTAGCATAATATAAGTAAAAAATATCAAATGTAAGTAGGGTTTATTGTCTTTATTTAAAAATAAAACGATAATTTGACCAAAAAAAATATAAAAATAATAAATCAATTCCCTTAGTCATTACAAGTTAATTTATCTGTTCAATGTAACTTGTTCATAAGTTTTGTTGTTTTTTCACGTTATATACACGGAAAATAAAAGTAACTTGTTATGAAAGATTGATCAAATAACTATAATATTTTCATTCGTGCTGCTTATAGAAACCAATCAAAAAATGCTTATTCAATTTTAGGTTACCTGTATCTGTTTGACTATGAGAGATAGAAAGCTGAAATTCTTGTGTAAGTAGATCCTAGACGTATCTTCTCATTTGCGAACATGAATATAAATTTAAGATTTGAAATTATAAAATTCAGCTTTATTTTTTGTATGAAAATTATTTAAATTTTGAAATTTCAGTACATAGTGTCATTTTTAAAATTAAAACTGATCTATGTACTTTTATTTTTAACTAATTGCATTTTGTAGAGTACGCTAGATATCTTTATTTCATTTTTCTTTTTAAATAACTGCAATTTATAGAGTTCGCTCAAATCTACTGCCAAAATATTTGCAGCTAGTGCTTTTTTTTTAAATAATTTTAATTAACCAACACCGAAAGATTAGTCCAAAAAATGCAGCACAGTATAGAATGAAGTATAACAGATTGTAATAGTCCAACAATAATATATGAAAATCAAAAAAAAAACAGAGAAAAGCTTTTCGAAATGTTTCTTTGATTCAAAATAAAATTTCAGTTTTATGTAAATTACAATCATTTTTTCACACCCTTGCTCGAGGATTATCAGTTCCGTTTAATTAACCATAAGAAATTTTTCAGTTTGATCTCAGTAGTTATCATCTTTTTCACACTTACAGTTTGAAATCTTTTGTATTAACTAGAATCTGTGCGATTTGTAGAGAACGCAAGTTTTTGATGAGTAAATTTTTT